TCTAAGGATGTAAAACATCAATAAAAGCACTTAATTTGTACAGATCTCTGGTGAGCTGGGAATCGTGATGAAGCGTGCATCGTTTTTCCTTACTCCTGAATTTGAGCTTTTGTGTTGAGGGTGTCTGTAAAGAGGCCCTGTCCCTCTTCTGTCTCAGACCATCAGTGTCTCCTGTTTGCTGTTCTCGTCCACACCAGTGCAGGGGACATCACATGACAGTTCACCTGGAGCTGTCTTGTGGTCTGTCTTGTGCTGATTTTGCTGGACACACACAGGGGCTTGTCAAATGCTAAACAGACTTACCAATGGGAGTCCCATCATCTGGGAATCGGGGGACCTTAACTGAAACACTGGTGTCTCTGTTGCACAAAGACAGCACAGTAACCGATCAGTGCCGTGGCCTTGAGGTGGAAATGAAGAAAAGTTCCACTGATAGTCTTTTTTACGAAGCTGTCGGTGTCCTCATTATCCAGTAATTGGATTACTGTGAAAATGCCATACCGAATTTCAGAAAGATGTCAAAAGTAATACAAATGTAAACATTCAGCAACTTATACTTTGAAATTGATGTAAGGGATGTTAGTAGGTAGGTAGGAATAACAGACTTTAGAAAGAGTTTAAGGAATTTTTTTAGATTTTATTCAGCTTACTGAATCATTTTAAATATTCATCTTTTGGATCCACCCTTTTTACAGCACATATAGGGTGTTTTATTTTAAGATGTGCTCTAATTATTTTTCACTGATTGTGGGGTTGTTTCTTTTGGATATAGTCTTTTTTGGGCAGAAATGGATTATATTCCACGCTTTGTCTTGGCATTTCTGAAGTTTAAACCATCCAGAGATCAGTTTAAATATTGTATACTGTCTGGGCATACATTCAAATTTCTATTATGCATTTCTGAACGGTTTTTTTGAAAGTAAAACTTTGAGTCCATCTTTCTGACCAGCGTTTTGCGTGGTTTCACACTTCTGACCAACATATTTGAATTTGTCATTCCCAGTTCATTAACGGTGCATCAGAATGTTATAATCATATGTAATCATCATATGATTATTTTGTTTTTGGCAGGTTTTTGTAATGTAAAACAGAGAGAAGCAAGAGCAATCGTGGCGTTTTGTAAAATATTCTGACTGACTTGTGATGCAGCAAAAGTAAAAATTGTAATTGTTTGGTTTATACAGTAGTACGCGACAGAGTTCGTCACTTTGCTAAGCCGACACTCTACTCAGAAAACAAACCGCCGTCTTCTGTGCTGCCACCTGCCGGCAGCCTGTGGTAATGGTTTTATCCATTGCTGATATTTTAGGGGTATTTGCTCCTGTGTGCTATGTATATTTAATATCCTGCACAAGACTTTTAGGATATCGGCAAGCCAAAGATATTTTTCCTTTGTCTGACGTTGTGTTGCACTAACTGCGCTGAAAGATATTCTGTGTAATTCAATGGGCGATTTTTCGATCTGTACAAAAACCTTATACGAATATATGCACAACTTCGGTATCATGCGCAGTATTTAATTGCATTATGTAACAATTTATATTTACAGTGTCAGTACCGGTTTAAATTATTTAGTGAAATATAAAATATCTCTAGCCACAAGGTGGCAGGGTTGTTCCATACTCTGCAATCTTTAGCCGGCTCGTTTCAGATGGATTTAGGTGCGTTTGTACGTTAGCTGCTAAAAGATATTCCATTCCTGTGTATCATATGTAGTTTGCATGTTTGAACTAGGAAGGTCTAGGAATGGGAAGGGAGGAAATTTGTGCATAATGAGACACAAGGCTAATGAAACTCTAGCAAGACATTAATTACTTCATTTTGGATTCAGCTGGCAAAACTGCAGTTTACTTTCATTGTCCATCATAAATAGATCAACACTATCAATTTATCCAGAGGTAAACTGGAAACATATGGTATAAACACTTAAGCATGTAATAACCATAGAGTTGACACATGAGGGTCCAGAGTTTACTAATTGCAAGCTAAACAAATTACAGAGTGTAAATTGGAAACCTGCAAAATGTGCTTCCCCACAAAAGAATTAGGCTTAGAGACTGCTGAGGTCCCTCCCCGGTCTGCAGGAGAGCAGGAGGCTGTGGACGAGGACCTGAACAAGGTATCCCCTGTCCCTTCCTACGTGCCTGTAAGACTGAAACGGGGGGTTGGGGTGCGTCTCTAAAGGTGGCACCAGGGTTACAGGCAAAGGTCTTGACCGTTGCAGGGTGCAGCCATGTGCTTAGACACGCAAAGTTACAAATATTCCCCGTAGTTTTTTTCCGTGAAGCATTAGTTGAGTTCAAGGAGTTTTTCATACCATCAGCATGTTGTATGTGACCAAGGCATGGAGATTTCAAAAAGTTCCACCCTGCCTGTCTCCGTCTCTAAGACTCAAACATCAGTCTGAGTACTTTGTGTGCCTCTGTGTGAAGTGTGCATGTCATCCCCCCGTCTGTCTGGCTGGGTTTTATTCAAGCACACCAGTTCTCCACCACCTCCCAGAGAGAGGCTGCTGAGGTCTGATCGGCTCATTGGCATTTACTGATTGGATATGGCTTGAAACGGTGTATCCCTGGTGCACACACTGCATGGCTACTGCAAAAACAATGCCGTTTTGGTTCATGTGAAATGAATGTTATTGTTCTTCACAGTGGATTAACTTTCTGAACATAGAAACGCTTTTTGGTGATGTATACAGTATATGCAGCAATGACAGCACGAATAGTATATTCTGTAAGTGTGGTTACTGAGAAATTCAAACGTCTGAGGTCAGTGGTTTTGCAAGCCTGAGCCCCGATTTGAGAGAATGCAGGTAAAATATTGTGCTCATTTACAGCGAACAGTCCAGTTTAGGTGTAGTGAAGTCATTTGTCTTCAGTATTGGGGAGCAGAAGACAGTGTCATGATTTCATTGCACCTGACATAATCATTATCAAAGTCCAGAAACACACTAGCTAATCATTCTGGCTTTAGTGTGTAATATAAACTGCAGCTTTTAGTACTGTTTGTTTTCATGGCCCAGTACTGACACCCTTAAGCAGGGTTTCAGTGGTAGGTAACATTCTTTACTTGTTAAGGTGCTGTAACCTTTAACCCCAGGTACCCTGATTGAGTTTTAACATGGCAAATTGTTAC